AGGGTTCACTGTATATGAACTTTTAGGGTTAATAAAGGCACTTGAGTGACCCCTCCCCGCCGGAGGAAGGAATCTTTTGTAAAAACCGGCACTTCGGGCGTCTCCCAGGTGATGGTGCAAAACCTGAGGTTCTGGTATGTAAGACCAATAGTTTTCAGCTGCAACTAATCGTGAGAATAATAGCTGGCACGTGAGAACTGCTAGCATAGCAGTAAAAACAACCTCAGAGGTGGGTGCCGTTCCTTGTGAAGCAACAATGTCAAGTGCTTTGTTGCTGAGCTTCTTCAGTCGTTCCCAGGTCGGCGGGAAGACAGTGTGGGTGGAGAGGGCGCGGAGGTGACGAATAGGCCCAGGCCCAGATTCTCCAGGACCTGGCTGAAGAAACAGATGCTGGAAAGGAGAAACAAGGAGGGACTGGCTCCCCCCGTGAGGGGGTGACTAGCGCACTGAAGTGTGAGTCGGAGGGGCTGGACACAAAGCCTGTCGGAATCCATCAGGAGAGGAATCAGCTGTTTCCCTTATGGTTTCCAAGTAGCAGGTGACAGTGCTGTAGGCGGAGGCAGCGGCAGGTCTGTCATAGGGGCGAATGAATCGGTCTGAAATCCACACAGGAGAGTCAGCACCTGTGGAAAGACGCAAGCAGATGCTCGCCCACAGGTAAGACGTCTGGGCCTTTCCAGGTCCCAGTTAATAAATCTTTCCATCTTACCAGTGGTTTAGGTTTAATGTCAGGACCCTGAAAATGTAGGTACATGGGTGTGTATCCTTCTAAAATTACAACTTCAATGATTTATAACAAGCATAACATGCTGTACAATATGATGGGAGAGTGATATTTAAGCTCTCCTTCCTGAAAATGCTGGATTTGGTTTTTAAGTGTTTGATGAGCTCTTTCTACTATGGCCTGTCCTTGAGGATTGTATGGAATTTCTGTAATATGTTTGATCTCAAAAGTGGAACAAAAGTTCTTAAAAGCAGTAGAGGTATAAGCAGGGCCATTATCAGTTTTTATCTCTCTAGGCTGTCCCAAAATGGCAAAAGAGTAAAACAAGTGTTGAATTACATCCTTAAATGCTTCTCCGGTATGGGCTGAGGCAATGACTGCATGTGAGAAAGTATCTGTGCATACGTGTACAAAGGAATGTTTACCAAAACTAGGGATGAGTAACGTCCATCTGCCATATGTCGTTAGGCATCAATCCTCGAGGATTGACTCCAGTTGGTAAAGTTGGAGCCTGGATTGGGCACCCGGAAAACTTTTTAATTTTCTCGTGCGGCTTCTCTGGTTATGTGATACTGTAATCTCAAAGCATTAGCATTTTGATGATGCAAAGCATGACTCTTGGAGGCCTGTTGTATGGATAAAATCATGGGTTGTGTTAAGGCATCTGTTTGCTTATTACCTTCATGTACAGGACCTGGAAGTTTACTGAGATCTAACATGCCCTATAAAAAATTGTAATTTATTTTGTACTTTAGTCAATAAATCAAATATAGTGGTTTTCTGGGGAGGAATGGATGTTATCTCTATGAATGGAAACAATTTAACTACATACTGTGAATCTGAATAAAGATTAAACAAAGTATTAGATAATGTTTCAAATACATGTATTACTGCCATAAGTTCAGTCTTTTGAGCGGACTTCTGATTAGTAGAAAACGAAGTCTTATGATCATCAATTATAACTGCAGCTGTGCCATTAGAGGATCCATAAGTAAAAACAAGGGACGCCGGTGGAGTGTCAAAAGTTTCCTTAGAGGTTTTTTGAGGGAAGATTACAGGGTGTTCTTTTATAAAATGTAACAAAGGGTTGTTAGGTAAATGATATGTTATGATTCCTGTGTATCCTGCAAGGGCAACCTGCCAATCTGGATCAGATTGCAAAAGGTTTCCAAGCTGATGAGCATTGTAAGGTGATATAATATTGGGGACTTCTATACCAAATGACTCTCTACTCCTTTTTCTTCCCTTTATGATAAGCAATGCTATCAAGGAAGTATAAGGAGTGACCATTTTAGGAGAATTGGAAGCTAAATATAACCGTTCCAGGGATCCATTCTGCCACAAACATCCCATAGGGGAATGGACAGTAGGTAGCAAAATCAAAGACCAAGGTTTTAAATAGTCTAATCTTGTTAATTAGTTATTCATTATTGTTTTTTGCACCTTTTCAATGGCCAATTTTCCTTCCTGAATCAATGCCCTATGTAACTTAGGGTTTGGGTCCCCTTGTAAGATGGCAAATAAAGGTTTCAAATCATTAGTGGTTAACTTTAAAAAAAGATGAATCCAATTGACATCCCCTAATAATTTTTGAAAATCATTTGAAGTTTTTAATGAATCCTGCCTTAATTGTATAGGTTGAGTAATTATTTTCTCTCCCAATATTTTCCTTCCCAAATAAGAAAAAGAGGGTTCTGTTTGTATTTTTTCTGGGGATATTTTTAGTCCCTGTTGAGTTAGAGCCATTATAGTATCTTGTAAAATTTCTTGCAATATACCACGGTTTTGATGGGCTAAAAGAATATCATCCATATAATGGATAACATACGCTTCTAAACACTTATCCCTAATTGACTGCAAGGCTGCACTTACATATTTCTGACAACAAGGTAGGGCTCTTTGGATGCCAAAACCCAAAGGAGGTGGGGGTGGAGGCCGGCCTTTAGACTTCTTAATTTTAGATTTAATTGCCAAATTTTTCATCGAGCCATAATGGAGCTTTTTACAATGACCTTTTGATTAAACTAAGGGGAAATCCCAATCATTGTCATGATATCAGCAGCTGCTTCTTCTAAGTCTGCTTCATCTTCAGACCAAAGTTTATCATCACTTTCCCCTGAGTCAGTTCCACAGTGTAACTCTGTTTCCTCTCCGCTTGTTCCGCCTTTAGAGGCGTTTTCTCATCTTGCAAAGAAAGTTTCTGGAAAGTTGAGTAACCTCTTGTAAGGGGTCTAAGGAGTCCCTCACTAAGCTCCATAGGGAGAATGTTTCTACAGGGCTTTCTTCAGGCCCATGTTCATTATAGCATTCTTTTAATTCTTCCCCTACTTTAGTTCATGTATCTAAACTGACGGTACCTTCTTCAGGAAACCATGGGCTGGATCGCTGTACAAAATTTAAAAACCCTGTTATCTGGTAAGTCGACACACGGACTCCTTTTCCATGAAGAATTTGCTTTAGAATTTCTACAAACAACAGTAGTCTTTCCTTAGACTCACTGTGGCCCATACTTTTCATGTTCTTTATCTGTTCACCTCTGCTTACCTGGGTGCCTTGCACCAGGGGGTCCGCAGTACCCTAGGTGAAGTCCTATCCACACTGAAAATGAGAAAAAATTACCTTCAGGTCCCTGTTCGGGGGCGGCACTTGTCGGAGTTGAGCTCCAGAGGGAGGGTTGAACTGGATACCTGAAGGAGGTGTGGTGTCGGCGAACACAGATGAGACAGCCACAAGAGATGTTCTGGTGGAAGCAATCTCTGCTGAGTTCTTCCAAACAGCTTTATTTATACCATAAAAAGTTTTGCAGACCACTACATAAAAACAATGCCTTATGATTAACTCCAAAGTCACCCTTATTGTTTCCACTAAAACCTGACAAAAGACCATTATGAGGCCTGTATTTTTTTCTATCACTTTCTGTCCTCTTCCTGGTTCATTCGTTCTGTACTGCTTGTCTTATACATCACATACTATTCTTGATTGAGGTGTTCAGAAAATTTGGCTAGATTCATATCCTACTCACTGCCCTATTTTTTGCTTACAATGTTCCTTTTCTTGTTGATTAACTTAACCCAATGAAACTACCTCATGTGCTACTTCAAAGCCTAATATCCACAAGTAGAGTTAAATGCTTCTCAGAGTTAAATATTTTCCTTTATAACTCTCCCATCGTAACTGCTCCATTGTCTACCTAAGTCTCTTTTATTTTTTATACTCCTGAGGCACCATGGAGAGCTAAACCTTCTGATTCTTTGCCAAAGACTTAATGTTTCCCCTTTTACGTGTTTTCTATTAATGTTAACCATTCTCTCTCCTTCTATGTAAGTCCCTGTCCAAGGTAAAGGGGTGTCAGTTGGGGGAGGCAGTCTATAAGGTCCTCTATAACAAGGAGGCCAAAAGAGTCCCCCACTACATAATCTGAATGGAATCCAGGGTTTTTTGTTGGATTTCATTTTCTCCTCAGACCTCAACTATTTGGGTTTCTTCCTCACTCAATTCCCACATATCCTTCTCAGAATTCCCAAAGATGTCTTGCTGTCTAAGCCTCTCCAATGCCTCAGTTAAGGAAAGTCCTGTCATATTGAAGTAAGTTTTAGATCTGGTTTCATTCGTACTTCTCAAGACTGCCCTCACATCCACTCCAGGTGCGGTAAACATGACAATGCACACAATTCTCAAGAGTGGATTTTAACAACAGCAAATATTTGAGGGATGTTGGAATCCCTCCCTGGGAAGCTCTGCTCTGCAGAAGCTTCTTCCACCAGGCTGTAGCTTTGCTAGACAGCATGGCTGGGATGGCTCCCAACAATGGCTGTATAATAAGTTTTGAAATTAAGAAGTGAGAAACCTCCTACTTTTCTTTTTTCTTTTTTAACAGTGTTTTGTTTGTTTTTGGGTTCTTTCCTTTTTATATGAAATTGTTGATTAGTTCTTATATTTCTTTGAAGAAGTGTATTGGGAATTGGATCAGAATTTCATTTAACTTGTAGAGTATGTTTGGTAATATTGGTATTGTCACTATATTAAATTTTTCTGTCTATGAGCTTAGGGCATCCTTTCATTTATGTAAGTCCTTTTTGGTTTCTTGTAGAGGTGTTTTATATTTTTCTTTGTATAAGTTTTTTTTATGTATATAGGGATTTTTTTATGTATAGGATTATGTCACCCGTAATAATATTCACCAGGGTGCCCCTTGGTCACCTCACCTTTCGACCACTGGCCTCTTCACAAATTCTCAACAACCCTAGGCCCCTTGGGCTAGATCATGCCATAGGCTCAGGTTCCACACAACTCTTTAAACTTCAGACTAGCCAACCCACTCTCATCTTCTTCTCTATTCCCTGTGAACCGGATCCACAGGTGTCAGTGGCCAGACTCAACCATCCATCTATTGCCACATTTCTTTTACTTCCACTCAACAGGTGGATCCAGGTGGTCAACTAGCAAGCTATTCCGGCTGCCTACAGGCTTCCTTTAACTTTCAGTCCTTGAGGGGAAAGTTCCTTTGTAGCTCCAGATTTTTCCAGCTTCAGGAGTAGACCACCAGTTCAAAATTCAGAAAGGCCCACTGGCTCCTTTTTTTTACCCCTTCAGTCTGCGAACAGCTCTTTCAGTAAGTCTTTTCAAATGCAGATGTCGTGAGCACTCAAGGCACTGAGTGGGGATTATCTTTTCTAAGCCTTCTTTGCAGGTATTTCCTGATAACCCATTTTACAGATCCAATTTAATGGCTGAACACAGTGGGTTTAAAAACTGTATTTTCATAATAATTTCAGTAATAATTTCTATCACACATTATCTCAATAACAATAAGTAGAATAAAAAATAAATATAACCCTAGTCCAGTAAGATGCTAAACACATTCTTTTCCCCCCTCTTGTCCTTTTTCACTTTTCATTTTTTAGAACTTTTGTTGGGGGCTCTTACAGCTCTTACCACAATCCATATAGTCATCCATTGTATCAAGTACATTTTTACATATGTTGCCATCATCATTTTCAAAGCATTTTCTTTCTACTTGAGCCCTTGATATCAGTTTCTCATTTTTTCATCCTCCCTTACCACCCACCCTCCCTCATGAACCCTTGATAAGTTATAAATTATTATTTTCATGTCTTACATCATCCTCGGTCAGCCTTCACCCACGTTTCTGTTGTCTGACCCCTAGGAGGGGGTTATATATTGATCCTTGTGATCCATTCCCCCTTTCTCCTCTTACCTTCCCCTTCTCCTCCTGGTATTGCTATTCTTATTATTGGGCCTGAGGGGTTTATCTATCCTGGATTCCCTGTGTTGTGGGCTCTTATCTGTAGCAGTGTACATATTCTGGTCTAATCTGTTTTGTAAGGTTGAATTGTTATTTTGTTGGTTTTATCTTCCTTTGTGGTTTTACCTGGGTTTTTAAAATTTTGCACTTATTAATGTCTCTGCATGTCTATTTAGATAAGATAGTGGGTTAAACAATTCGGAGATGAAAACAATGGGACCAACGGTTCCAGTGGGGGAGACACAGGAGAAGGGGAAGTGGGAAAAAGAGGAAGTGGAGGTGGTGTCAACCAACCCAGGGACAAGGGAACAACAAGTGAACTAAACTCAATGGAGAAAAGGGCATATGGTGCCTAGTGGGGCTTAATCAAGGGCAGTGTAATAGCAAGGAATAACTAAACCTAAATGAAGGCCGAACATGATGGTGTGGGACAAGAGGAAAGTGATAGGAAATAGAGAAAGGAACTAGGATGCAAAGGACATTTTAGAGGTCAAATACAGGCATGTAAAGTTGTAAATACAAAAAAAAAGCAACAAAAAATAAAGTTTTAAATATATTTATATATAACAAGAGGGAAATAGATCTATGTACTTATATCTATATTTTAAGAATTAAGGTAGCAGATGAACATTGGGCCTCAACTCAAGTACTCCGTCAACATAAGAACACACTTTGTTTAAATAATCCGGCATACTGTGAAGCTCACCTTTCTGACATGATTGCTGAAGACAAAATGGTTGCATAAGCAAATGTGGTGAAGAAAGCTGATGGTGCCTGGCTATCAAAAGATATAGCATCTTTACACAATTGATGTGTGTATGGATTGGGATAACAGTTGTATGAGCCCCTAATAAAATGTTTAAAAAAAAAAAAAAGGAAAAAAAAAAAAAAAGATATAGCATCTGCAGTCTTAAAAACTTGAAGATAAACAAATGGCCATGTAGCTGAGAAGCAGCAAAGCCCACATGGAAGAAGCACAACAGGTGTCAAAGGGATCACGAGGTGTCAAAGGGATCAGGTATCAGGCATCAAAGACCCAGAACAAAAAATTATATCAATGTGAATGAGGGGGAGTATGGAGTGGAGACCCAAAGGCCATCTGTAGATAATTGGACATCCCTTACAGAAGGGTCACAAGGAAGAGATGAGCCAGTTAAAGTGCAATATAGCACCGATGAAACACACAACTTTCTTTTAGTTCTTTAATGCTCCCCACCCCTACCATCATGACCTCAATGCAAGCTAAGCACATTTTAAAAATAGTCAAATTCAATCCTTATCTGAACTATCCAATTCATGTGCAATATGGCCTTAGACCTCTCTCTCTATCAAACAGGACCAGGCTTTTGGTCAGACATTTTGACTAAGCAGCATGGCTTCAGAGAATTTCAAGGGGACTATTTTGCCTCTTGAGCTCAAAATTTACATTTATCACATTAATTTTTACCATTTCAGACCAGAATAGCCTGAAACAACATGGAGGAATCAAAACTTTCACTTTCCATGTCCTTTCCAGAAAACCCCCCCAGTAAACTGCATGCCCATGTCTGACCTCTGGATAGCCAAAGAAGAAAAACTCAAATAAGGCAAAGGTTAGACAAGCCTCCATTCTCTATCTTCCTGATTTGTTCCATATTGTGTTAGGTCAGGTTAACTAGAGAAACAAATCCAGTGACACTCATACATAAGACACTCATAGGAAAAAGCTTTATATCAAGAAGTTATACATATTAGGAAAACATCCCAACACGGCCAACTCAAGTCCGTAAGTCTGAGACTAGTCCATAAGTCTCTCTTTAGACTCCTGCAGTCATAAGCAATGATGCAGAATGCAGGATTATCACAGGATGGTGGGTGTAAAGACTTGTGGATCCAAAGGTGGTGGATAAATCTCCAGGGCTCTGGCCACCCTTAGGGTCTGTTAGCAGGAAGGT